CAGAATTTTAGAAGTGAATTTGAAACGTCAGATTTCGCTCTCATCTACATAATCAAACTATTCTTTTCTTATGAGGAAGACTGACGAATTTATAGACATTTCAGCTATCTTCCTTTGATTATTTTATTAAATATTTAATAAATTGTAATTTTTAATTTTCATTATGAAATAATATGATGTTTCGTTGTTGTAAGCAGCTTCTTTAGACAAAATAAACTATACATTTTTAACTGATTGTATATTTTACAATAGAGTAAATAGAAAACAAAATAGATGATTATTTTTCTTTTTTTTAAACTTTAATAGTGATAGAGAAATGCTTCATCAATCCAGTCTATTATTACTCTTACCGTCTTGTACAGTCAGTTAAAAATGTATAGTTTATTTTAGGTGTCATAAATCTACTGTATTTTATCTGAAGAAGTTGCTTACAGCAACGAAACGTCATATTATTTTATAAAATTAATAATTAAAATTTATTAAACATTCAATAAAATAATGAAAGGAAAAGGATTGAAACGTCTATAAAAAAATTGATCAAAGTGTGAATTTGCTGCTGTTTAATGATTTGCTCATCAAAATTTTGAGTAAGACCCAGTTTTTTAGGAGTACGACAATTATAATTTACGATATTTTAGTTTCGACATCTTTATTATCGGTTGTTCGAACTTCGACTATTAAAAATACAGTGTATAATAAAAATGAAAGCAAGAAAATTATTATTGTCTTATCATATACTATTTCTTTTATTTAACAAAATCTCTGTGCGTATAAAATATTATGTTATGTTTAATTTTTATAATCAATCTTATGTGATAGTTCTTTTTTAATCGAGATCAATTGGATGTCATACTTGATATAACCGTTTTTACTATAATGCATGGAGCGAGAAAAACGATGTTATTGCTTGTTCTTTTTCTTAGTATAAAAAGTAAAAGGTTGAAAGAGAGAGATGATATACACTATGTCAATAATCGTTCGAACACTCTGTAATACTTGTCTTGTGAAATATATTTCACAAAAAAGAAAAAAACATTTTCTCGACTCTGATTTTACCATTACTTTACCTATCGAATGATATATAACTCAAAATAGTTTGATGCAGAATACAGGTATCATAAAAAGAAAATTACAGATGTTCGAATAATTTATTTTGCAAGGAAACCAAATAGTTTATAGAAAATCTTTTTGACAGAAAATTCTTTTTTTTTTGGTAGAATACAGTAGAGACTTCAATCTATCGAATGGTATAATCAGAGTCAAGAAAATGCTTTTTCTTCTATGTGAAATTTATTTTACAAGGAAAGTATTGCAGAATGTCCGAAAATTAAAGAATGAACTTTTCCGACTAAGAAAATTCAAACAAGCACTTTTTATTATCGTTTACAGTCGTCTGTATGAGATAGCTTAGCACCTTCTTTCGAGATAAATTAAAAAGAATATTACAAATTGATTTTTAATAGTTATCTTTTTCGTATTATATGTAAAGAAACGTAGCAAAAATTTTCATCTTGCTGTCAGTTATAAGACACTGCATTTTCTCTTTCAATAAATTAGATGACATAAAACTTAACAAATACTGAATTGAATAAGAAACAATAGAGATAAGAAATTGTTCTCCTCAGTTAAATACCATATTCATTGTCAGCTGACGACATCTGATGATCATTCTACAACATACATAGATAAAAAGGTATAAAATATAGACTCAAATTTGGTTGACGTCACGTTTGTCTCACTTCATACGACATTAGTAAGTATTATTATTATATTATATATAATTCTATTGGTAAAACATTTCGACCAGAAAAAAAAATATAGTTGGAAAACTATGAATCATTCTAACGTGTAATACACTTTCGTAAGAACAAAAAAAAAGCAAAAATACGTTTCTCTTTTTTTTTTTTTTTCTTTTTTAGATTTATATTTATATTGCGTATTTTGATTACGAATATGATTTAAAACAAAAGACAAATTTATACAACAATTTAAACAATGCGTTTGATTAAGAAAAATATTGATCGTGGTTCAAGTGGTGAACTTAAACTTGAACCTGAAGAACAAGAAGATATGTGGCATGCTTATAATTTAATTGCTATGGGTGATAGTCTTCGTGCATCAACTGTACGAAAAGTTGTTCAAACAACTGATACTGGTTCATCAACAACAACAAAAAAACGAATGACATTAACAATTGAAGTTGTTGCTGTTGATTATGATAGTGTTGCATGTGCACTTCGAGTTAAAGGACGTACAATTGAAGAAAATGAATTTGTTAAAAAAGGTAAAAAAAATTTAGAATTTAATTTTTCAAAAAATAAAACAAAAATTTTCTTTTCTTTTTAATAGGTTCATATCATACATTAGATTTAGAATTACATAATGCATTTACATTACAAAAACATGAATGGGATTCTATAGCATTAGATCGTGTTGAAATGGCTTGTAATCCAGCACATCAAGCTGATGTAGCTGCTGTTGTTATGCATGAAGGTTTAGCTAATTTATGTTTAATAACTGAACATTTAACAATACATCGACAAAAAATTGAACATACAATACCACGTAAACGAAAAGGTCTTTGTGCACAACATGATAAAGGAATGGAAAAATTTTTTGATGCTATTATATTTGCTATTATAAAACATATTAATTTTCAAATTGTTAAAGCTGTTATATTAGCTAGTCCAGGTTTTATTAAAGATCAATTTTATCAATATATGTTAAATAAAGCTACACGTGAAGATGAAAGACATTTACTTGAAAATCGTAATAAATTTATTTTATTACATTCAAGTAATGGTTTTAAACATGCATTAACAGAAATTTTACAAGATCCATTAGTATTAAATCGTTTATCGGATACAAAAGCTGCTGAAGAAATGAAATTACTTGATCAATTTATGCATCTATTAAATGATGAACCAGAAAAAGCTTATTATGGTTTAGAAGTTGTTGAAAAAGCAAATCAATCACAAGCAATTGAATGTAAATTATAAATATTCAAAACAAAACAAAACAAAACATTTTTTTTTCTCTTTATTATTATAGATCTTTTGATAACTGATGAACTTTTTCGAAATATTGATTTTAATAAACGACGACGTTATGTTCAACTAGTTGATTCAATTAAAGAAAATGGTGGTGCTGTTCGATTATTTTCTAGGTAAATTTTTTTTTTGATGATTATTTATTTATTAGATTTGATCTATTTATTTATTTTTTTTAGTATGCATGCCTCAGGTGAACGATTAGGTCAATTGACAGGCATTGCTGCTATTCTACGGTTTCCTATGCCTGATCTTGATTTAGCTGACGATCATCATCATCATCATCATCATCATGAAATACAAAATAATTTAAATAATGATGATGATCTACAACCAAATCCAAATCGACCCGATAATTCTTTAGATAATACTAATGATTATCAATCAACGAATAATGATAGAACATTAAGAGAAAATCGAGCTGAAGCATCAGCTTGGTAATAATGATGATATTATTCATCTATATCGTTAGGAAAATCTTCTTTTGTTTCTTTTATTCATTTTCGGGTGTTAACTTTTCTTCCTTTTCTTTATATATGTGTGCGTATTTTCACACGATTTGTGCATTAAAAGAAACCAAGATTTCTTGAGATATTTATTATATTTTGTTCTTCTCTCTACACTTTATTTTTCTCTCTCTCTCTCTCTTTTGTGTTCCTTATGTATGTTTATTATGGGTTATTGTTGTCGTTGCATCGAAGGTAAAAAAAAAAAGAAAAAGAAAATCAAGATTATTTATAAATTGATATTAAATATTCCTAACACAGTTATAGTATCAATCATAATTTGTTATTGAATACACGATAAAATTTCAATTAAATCATATTTTTTAATCTTTTTATTGCAATATAGATCCGTTTTAATATACTTGCAAAAAAAAAAAATTTTTTTCATAGTATCACCTTGAAACATTCTTGAATGTCAGAAATGAATTTATTGTAAACGACAAAAAAAATCTTGGAGTGATTCGACGCAATTTATATCCGAACTAGATTTTTTGATTTTCTAGAATGTACAATTGTTCAAATTGATATATTTTTAGGAAATTCTAAATTTTTCAGTTTTTTCTATCTTACAGATTTTAGCAATTGGGAACAAAGGTCGTTGAGTATGATTCGTTTCTAGCAACCGATGGTAACAAGTGTCAGACTCTTTTCCTCTAGTTGCTTAGCAACGGAAAAAAAAACATTGAATGGCATTGCCTACAAAGGTTATATTACGAATAGTAACAAGACAGATAAAAAAAAAAGTGAGTTCGTTTTTTTGACAATCTCTTATCTTTGAAAGACAAATATCGTCTATACGAAAATTTTTCACATTACATATTTTGACTTTAGGGATGTGGGTATGAGTGAGCACCTCTTAGTTTTTAAAAAATTGTATATGTACCTTTTCAGCTCTCAACAAATTTCCTTGCACTCTCTACGACTTTTTTTCTTTTCGCCACATCCCTTTATGTCTTATACATTTTGGCTTCCAAGGAGCTGCACTAATAAACTCTTTATGATATGATTATAGTGAATAATCGAAAAGGTTGAGTTTTAATAATTTAGTCGAAAATATTTGGGGAATTTCATCATCATGGTAACAAAAAAAAAAGCCATCAATCATTTGACTTATAGCGACATCTAGATAAAAACTTAAATCATTGCCGTATTAACTTTAAAATATATAGTTAAAGTAATAGAATAAGAAAAATATATATATTTATTCTTCATATATATTCAATATGATATATGTATGAATAAAATTTTTGATTGGTTTCTAAAATCGGTTTTCTAGGCCACGTATTCCTACCAATACATTTTTTTGATCATGTTTACAAAAATTCCGTATTACATTGACTTTAACATCTGATACTTTTCAACTATATTTTTCTTTTTTTTTGTTTTCAGATAAGCGTGCCATTATATCTTACACACACTAGAACTAGAATAGTGATATACAAAAATGAATATCTTTCGTTTCTTAGGGGATTTTTCCCATTTGGGAGCTATTATTATTTTATTACTTAAAATTTGGAAAACACGTTCATGTGCTGGTAAGAATTATAATTAATTGAATTTTTTGAAAATTATAAATTTTTCTTTCCTTTTCCTTCAATAAGGTTTATCTGGCAAGAGTGTTTTACTCTATGCTATAGTATTCACATGTCGTTATCTTGATTTATTTACTCATTTTATTAGTTTATATAATTCGGTTATGAAAATAATTTATCTTGTTTCAACATATTTTACACTTTATTTAATTTATCGTAAATTTAAAGCAACATATGATCGTAATCATGATACATTTCGTATTGAATTTTTACTTTTACCTTCAGTTGTACTTGCTTTATTATGGAATCATGAATTTTCGGTATTAGAAGTAAGTTTTATTTATAAAAAAAAGATAATTTATTTTAATATATATATTTGATAATTTAGGTCCTTTGGACATTTTCAATTTATCTTGAATCTGTTGCTATACTTCCTCAATTATTTATGGTTAGTAAAACACATGAAGCCGAAACTATCACAAGTCATTATTTATTTGCATTGGGTATTTATCGATTTTTCTATATTCTTAATTGGGTTTATCGTTATTATACGGAAAATTTTATTGATTGGATTTCAATTGTATCTGGTGTTGTTCAAACAGTTCTTTATTGTGACTTCTTCTATCTTTATATAACTAAAGGTAAGAAAAACAAAAAAAAAAGTTTTTTTTTTTCTGATAATTTATATATATATATATATATTTTGTTTTAGTTTTGAGAGGAAAGCACTTGACGTTACCAGCATAAATCTGGATTGAATATGACGATTTATCTTCGTTGAACTTTCTTTCGTCTTATTATATTCCATTGGTTATTTGCTTTGTTTTTTTTTCTCTTCTTCTTCTTCTTCTTCTTTTGTTTACCAACAATATTGTTATTACGTATCATTAAAAGAAAACTTAGCCAAGCATATTGGTTTTGTTATCCCTATGATCAAATTTCTTGATGTTTGTTTTTTTTTTCTTTTTCTTTTTCTATGCTAAAAATTAACAACATTTACATTTCACTTCTTGTTTTGTTTTCTTTTTGTGTATGTCTGCTTCTCTTTATTTTTTGTTGTATGTTTCACTTAGAAATGAATAAAAAAAAAAAAACAAGCAAAGAAAAGAAAAAAAATTTTTTTCTAGGTAAAAAAGTAGAATTTTTTCCCTCTCAATATATGTCAATGATGTTTTCTTGTTGTGTATGATCTATAACATGTCTCTCTTGTTTGTTTTTATTTTTATTATTTGTTTTTTTTTTGGGTTGTTTGGGTTATATCATCTTTTTATTCAAATAGAGCAACTGTTCTTTGTTTTTTTTTTTTTCTTTATTCTCTTCTCTTCTTATCATCATTATTATTATATTCATTAAAGAAAACAACAGCCAAGAATTATTTAATTTGTATTCTTTATTTGTTTTACAGATGGCTACAATAGAAAATAAATCAAAGAAAAATCGTAGTACAGGTTATTTAACATCACCAATAAATGTGAATGCTGCTAATCATCTTTCGTATTTATTTCAAGTGAGCTGACAAGAGAACATTTCCAATTGTTACATTGCTTTTCAGTCGAGTGTATGCGCATCATGTAGATCCTAATGATCTATGGATATTCTGAAAAAAGTTCGTGTCGCTAGCTTAATTACTGTCGAGATATTGCATTTTTACTGTATATTTAAGAAAAAAAAAGCTGTGGTCCTTCTCAGGAGCACTAGAAAAACAAAGTTTCGAATTTCGACTTCAAAATTTGCATAGGGATAGGTCTCAGTGAGAATAGTTTATTGTGAAAGTTTCAGATCTTTTCGTTGTTCCTACCCTAAGATACGGCTATGGTATAATAGTTTATATACACCAGCAGATTCCAATGTTCTTATTTCAGACTAGGAGCAATCAAAAGATCTAAAACTTTCACAAAGAACTATACTCATCGAGGTCTATCTCTATACAAAGTTTCAAGTTAAAATTCGAAACTTAGTTTTTCTAGTGTTCCTGAAGGAGACCACGGCTTTTTTGCTTACACATACAGTAAAAATGCAATATCTCGGTAATAATAAGCTAGCGGCACGAACTTTTTCCAGAGTATTCATAAATCATTAGGGCCTACATGATGCGCATACGCTCGACTCAAAGGCGATGTGACAGTTGGGAATGTTCCCTCGTGAGATAATATTTTGATGAAAAGATCTTTTGTTTTTCTTTTTAAATAAGACAGCACATATAGTTTTATTAACAACTGCTGATTTTAATTTGGTACGACATCTTGTTAAACAAATACGTGTACATGCTCAAAAGAAACAGATTCGATTGTAAGATATATTAGTTTTAAGATTTTTCTTCGATATGTTATAATCTGTTAGACATCCTGAGATGAAACGATTGCTTTGTTCGTGTTGTAATATGATTTTATGGCCACCATTAACTGCAAATGTTCGTTTTAGTACGTTTAATCTTAAATAATTATGAAAAATTTTTATTTGAATAATACAATTGATTTTTTTTTTTTGTTAAAGATAAACGTAAAACAGGTATTGTTGTAACATGTTTGACATGTAATCGTTTTCGTTATTATCCTAAACATAATTCTTGGCCAACAGAACATGGTGCTCATATACCAAGCGATTGGCTTTTTAATATTTTGTCTTCATCTGAAAAACATTGATTAATTCTTGTTTATATATTCTAGATGGGTAAATTTGATTCTCAATTACGTTTTTTAAAATATAAACCACCGAAATCTGGACCTCGGTAAAATGATATTAATAAAATAGATTAAAAAAAGAAATTCTTTTATTTAGAGTTATTATTGCACCGAATTATCGTCTAAATCAATATCAATTTCGTCAAGCATTACCTGCACGATTACGTGATTATGTTCGAGGTGGTGGAACAAGTGCATCAGGTATTGTTGTGAAACATAATCTAAAACGAGGATTGAAGTATAGAGAAGTGAAATTTTCGAGACTGTAATATACGATCAAAGACTGTATATGAATAACGTCCTTCCTTAATGCAAGGATGATACTACAGTATAACTTCTCTATGGTGGATACTCTTCGGACTTTTCAAAAGTGTTCACTATAAGCAAAAGAGGTTTGGTTTCTCTTAAAATAAGAAAAGCGTAAAAAAGTGATTTTTTTTTTACTGAAATTAATAGAAAAATTGACTACGAGCTTCGAATAAAATGCCTATAACTCCTGAACAAGTAAATCTAAAAGTCTGAACCTTGTGAAGTTTTGTAGATCTTCTCTTAGCGGTTCGAATGGCAACCTGATTATTAAAAATGGGCCTTAGTCACCCTACGAAGTATGTTGGTTTTCAAAAACTAGGTCAAATTATTCTATAATATACAATTCAATGCGTCTCCATCTCATCGTTCCAACGGCGAAAACCGCAGCTCTTTATCTTATTTCTATCAAAAATTATTCAAATATACCCATCCCACCTTTTTTTTTTGAAATAGGCAATAGTTACTGTTTATTGTTACTTCTTTTCTTATGTGCATTGTTCTTCGTAGAAAATTAATCGTTATTATAATACAGTAAAATTCTTCTGTCATGGACATCATCGGAACTATTTGAATGTATCCACCATAGAACTATATGAAGATGTTTACTATAGGAGATTTTGCTGAAATCGATTAATACTTAGGACATACCAAAAGTTCTGGCCATGGCATTTATAAAGGATCTTTTTGGATAGGGAGACATATTGCGAAATGAGAAACCAAATATCCCATGTTGTGGAGCTTTTTGAAGTACGTCGAATGGTATATAGGAAATCTTGTTTTCATAGGACTTTGAAGGGTATAGAGTCAATTTACTGATAGACGACTAGACACCTACAAGATAGCCGTAGATACTACATATAGGAGGTTGTAGCCCGTCAAAAACTCTATAAAATCGGATATAAGAAAAAATATTTTACAAATGCTTTTGACTAATATCAACGACCACAATATTCAAAAACTTATCATGCTTCAATGTGGATATGTAGTTGTCTAACAGTAAATTGACTCTAGTTCCTTTAAAGTCTTATGAAAACAGGATTTCCTATATACCATTCGACGCGCCTCAAAAAGCTCTACAACATGAGATATTTGGTTTTTTCATTTCTTAATAGGTTCCCTTATCTGAAAAGATCTTTTGAATGCCGTAGCCAAAACTTTTTAGTATGACCTAAATACATAATTGATATTTCGTACATTAATAAAATTTAATATTTTTTTTGTCTTATAGAATATACATGTGGTCCTTTAATGAATATTGTAAGTAAAATGTATAATTAAAAATAGTCGATCAATTAAAATTATTTAGATGTTGACTTGCTTACAAAAACATGAATATGATAATTTTGCATGTGAAAAAGAAGTAGCTGATTTCTATGCATGTGTAAATGAATATCAGGTATTTATATAAATTGAATAGTTTTTTTTTTTTTTTATTTTAAAAAAATTTATTTCTATTTCTAATTAGAAAACAAGTGCTGTTGAAAAAGCAAATCTTAAAGGTGGTGGTGATGAAGATAAAGTAGTAAAACAATTTGCACGAAATCGTCAACCAGCTTGGCTTTCAAATAAACTTTTAAAATTATATCCTACATCATCATCTGTTGAATAAAATAGTTAGTGTATTATGATAAAAAAGTTTATTTAATATAAATGTTTTGTATTGACACCTTTGAAGATTACACAAAAAAAAATGAACTTATCGAACAAAATGAATGTAAATGAGATAGAATATTTAGAGAATGATGTCTCGAGAGAAGAGAAGTCGATTGGCGAGTAAAAAAAAGAACATTGAGAGAAAAAAGGAAAATCTTTGCAAGATTGAAAAGGTTCAACTGTTCACTTGGGACATCTCTCTATTCAGAATACTTCAAAGAATAAAAAAATTATTTCTTGAATGTTTGATCATTAACGATAGTTTTGAACGTTAATTCTCAAAAGAACAAAGATTGTGCATTACTATATATATAATTTATATCATTCAATTTATTCTAATGCAAGTAATTTTTGTCTCTTGATGTGCATATGAAGTGAAATATTCTTATGTGCGATATATATATATGAGACAATGTATGAAATTCAATATAGTTTTACAATATTTTCATTATAAATTATTTTTCAAATAAGAATATATTTCTTTTTAGAATTACATTCCTTCAATGAAATCATAAGAGATAATTGAATATAAAAGTACTATATTTGTTTCATGATAAAGAACAATAGAATTAATAAATATAATTATACAAAATTTCATATGATAAGAGAAAAACTATAGAGTTCATATATATATTCAATTGAAATTTATGCAATCTTTGTGAAAGTGTTTCAATTAAGAAAAACAAATAACGAAAGATTTTTAGTTGTTGTATTATCGATATCAATCATTTCTAAAATGTTTTCAATCTCATAATTTGTTTACATTATATTGCTTACTCATACTGAAGAAACATTATCGTATTCTTTGTTTCTTTACATTAAAAAAAGTGTATCTGACACTCAAACAATCATTGAACAAATACAAGAAAAAAGACCGCTGCTTATGATGATTAGAATATTTTCTTAGTACAAGGATTAACATTGTATGTATTTGCGTATTAGTTCATATCGATATATTTATTTATCTTTGAATATCATGTGATTCACAAAATAAAATGTAATGTGGTACAGAAATTATGTTTGTTAAGTTTAATTGAATTATATTCTGACCTAAAAAAAAACAAATGAAAGATTTATTATGGTTATGTGTTTTTTTTATGGTAGAATTATAACTGTCTTTTTTAGACGAAGTCGTTGTTACATGTATCATAGATTTCATTGTTTTTGCGCCTTATAAAAAATAAAAAATTCCACATGAATTTAATTTTCTCTAGGACAGAGTTATATATATATACGCCTGTATGAGCGTAACCATAGTCAATGTTTATTATACCGAAGAATTTCTTTTCATTCTCAACAAACAACATCAAAAGATGGTACTTTTAATAAATGTGTAAGTGTCACGACATATTTATATACTTATGACAATCTTTCTTTTTAAACTGTTAAGAAAGTGTCAGGAAAGAAAAATTCATATCTCTATGCTGAATAGTCTTTTTTTTTCTTTTCTGTTAAAATATTAAAGTTGCTTCTTGTTCTTACTTTGTTTCATTACCGAAACTAACCTATTATCACAACTTATATTATAACGTCCTCATGTCGATTTACTCTTATAAACATTTTTTTTACTTGAAGATAAGTAATGCATGAAGAACAAAGGTATATTTTTATATTAGGTTGTGTTTTTCTTTTGATCTTTTGTTCATAGTTTTATAACAAATAAGAAAAAGATGAAAGAATGTTTATCCTAGTGTATTTGACATATATAAAGTCTAGATGAGACTATATGTGCAAATTACTTTTCGTTTTGTTTTTTTTTTGTCTAGATGTTATTGTAAAGTGTCAAGGACTGGCTCTGTATGCTTCAGGCATTGTAAAGTGAAGGATGAATTTTTTTCTCTCCTCAGGAATGATAAGCTCGAGATAATCATAGAATAGGAACTAGACAAAATTTGTTAGTTCTGAATAAGAGACTAGACCGAAGAGCACAAAAAAAAAGATGATGAAAAAGGAAGAAGAAGAAGAAGAAGAAGGAGAAAAAAAGGAAGGAAGACGAGACGATGTAGAGAGTTTTCTCCGTACGATAGTTACTCATTCATTTCTTGAGTTAAAGGACTTGAAAATTCTTTCTCGATGTGTCGTTCTCAACAATCCGATACTCGTTTTCTTTTTCTTTTTTATTGTTTTGTCGTATGTAAACGAGACATAAATAATGTCGACAATCGTAAGATTATGGCTTCTTAGCTAAATAAAACTTTTTCTTTATCGATACGTTATTATTCGTTCAATATAAGAAACCTATTCATTAAAAGAAGATGTTACTCATGCGTCAGTTTCTTTCATCAATCACTTCAAAAAGATTAAAGAAAATGATCGACATTATTGAGTAACAAACGATGCGTTCCGAAGATTAGTCCTAAAGAAACATATTATCGTTTTATATGATAAGATTTCTTCTATCTCGCCACTTTTTT